ACACTGAGGGTTGCGATCCGTTGCCGGTCACGAAAAAAGACAAAAAGAAAAAAAAAAAAATGAAACCTACTTAAATGACATTGTTGGGTGGGAGGAAGGAGAGGGAGGAGAGAGGGAGGTTTCGGTAATGGGCCACAATAATCAAACACATTATATATTGACAAAATAAAATTTTTTAAAAAATGAAACCTATTTAAAAGCAAATAAAATAAAGCACATTAACTGGTGATTACTCTCCCAAAGCTAGTACCTCCCTCCACTGCCAGCAACCTGCCAGTCATCCCCCAGGACAACCTCCAAATGAGGCAGCAGCAGCAGGTCCCTGGACGCCTCCCTGCAGTTCACACCCACAGGGATGTAACCAGCAGTGTACCGGACCAGAAATGTCACAAGCAGATAACCAGTTCCTCAATGCACAGTGAAGAAAGGCAGGACCTGGTGACAAAGTATGATGAGAAGCAGCCCCAGTGGAATATGAAAAGGCAGGAAGAGTGCTCTCTTTGGGAGTTGAGAAAAGACCAGTGGTTTGCACCTGAATTCCTGCAAGTTCCAGTTTTAAAAGGCAATATTTGATTATTGCTTCTAGCACAAGTAAAAAGAACAGACCCAGTTCTAGTTCTCAGGCTTGGGGCCGGCCCTGTGGCTCACTCAGGAGACTGTGGTGCTGATAGTTCTCAGGCTTGGACAAGTGCAAAGCAGATAGTTACCTGTAAGTGTACCCACCAAAGTGAGTTTACAGAAAAGAAAATACAGTAGAAATACTGAGAAACGTCCATCTCCATTTCAAAATCAAATCTGTACAAAGACAAACTGAGCTACAAAACAAAGTGCTGTCAAGTAATGCCTACCTGACTTTGAGAATATAATTCAACATCAGTCTGCATTTTGCCTTTTCCCTTCCCAGAGCTTTGAGCACAATAAAATGCTCTATAGTCATGAACTCAAAATCACCCAGTATTAAAATGGCACGCAACACAGACAGAAGAGACCAGGACAAAGAGCCACTCCCCGCTGGGCCACTCCCATGGGCTGTCTGCTGGACAAACACCAGGTATGCAGCTAACAAGGATGTCTAGGGCTCCCCCGGCTGGGCGCAGCATGCCATGGCACTGCTCCCACAGAATCCACCCACTTCGAGCAACAGGCAGCCTCGAAGGCACCCCAGGGCAGACTCCACAGGTCCAGGGGTTTACTTACCCCCAATGTTTGTGATGGATTCTGGCCCAAGAAGCTGATTTTCAAACAGCCTTTCTGCCTGTCGCAACTTCGTATTTGGATGCAGAACACCAAGCAAGAGAGGGGGTTCTTTGAAGCTGGAAAATAATGCAATACAGGGATTTGTCTATAAAAATATACATGAAGACCTATTATATGCATAACTCCCTGTTCTTTGATAAAGAGGGTGCATTCCAATAACATCTTTAGCTGCCAGAAACACAAAGGTTAAGAAAAAACTCTTCTAGGATATCAGAAGAGGTCACAGTACAAAATAAATATGAAAACATAAATATGACGGGCCGAGCCCATGGTGCACTCGGGAGAGTGCGGCGCTGGGAGCACAGCAGCACTCCCGCCGCGGGTTCGGAT